AAGGGAACACAAGCAGGGGGAGTGGGAGAGGGAGAAGCAGGCTCCCCGCAGAGCAAGGAGCCTGATGTGGGGCTCGATCCCAGGACCCTGGGATCATGACCTGAGCTGAAGGCAGACACTTAATGACTGAGCCATCCAGGCGCCCCTTTCCTGAAGCTTTTAAATCGGAGGGCTTGGTAGTTCCTAATCTCCTTAACCTCCTACCCCATGCAGCTTCAAACTTTGATAGACAGCTTGGGGGGAGACTGGCCATTTATCTTGGGCAGCCACCTTCTCGAGTGTGTTTTTCATTCCTAAGCACCAAAGACACTGCAGACACTCTTTTGGAAGCTTTTATTTTGGCTCTCCAGCCTCCTGCACAGCCCTAAATTCAGCAAATGTCCCAGGGGAGGGAACCAGCTATGCATTTGAAGATTCTCAAGTTCCTAATCTGCCATTTCAACTTCAACTGACCACAAAAACTCTTGTGATTTCTCTCTGGAATTTTGGTCCATCTAGTCATCATTGCTTCCACAACTCAATGATGACTTTTAAAATAGGATTTTTGTATTGTATGTGGTTGCTGCCACAATTCACATCCTATTTGGAAGTAGACTTTTTGAAGATGTTATAAGTAGCAGTTAAACCCAACCTCATACTAACACATTGCATTCACATGAAGAGAGAGCAATAAAAACTGTTGCAACCAGATTAGACAGACACAACTGCATGACAGCTGCATGTAAATGTGCCAGATGCTGAGAGCCATTCAGCTGTACACTCAGATTGTATGCAAGACAATTATTCTGAAGGTCAACTCAATTAAGGAAGGTTTCATGCAGAAATAATATATGGAGTCATATTCCAGAAAAAACACCATGTGTTGTGTTCTTTTATCAAGGACAGACCTCTTCATTGGGAGTATGCTTTCACAATGGATGGATAATTGAATAAATGACAGCAAACTAATGAAAATATGGTACCAGTCTCACTTGAAATAGTGGTTGCATTCCTGAGCATGTTTCACTAAATTTTACACATGCAAACATAATAAAATTGTGTCTGAGATACAAACATCTTTTTTTAAGATTTTACTGATAGAGACAGCAAGTGAGAGAGAGCATGAGCGGGGGGTGGGGTTGGAAGAGGGAGAAGCAGACTCCCCGCTGAGCAGGGAGCCTGACACGGGGCTCGAACCCAGGACCCCGAGATCATGACCTGAGCCCAAGGCAGACACTTAACTGACTGAGCCACCCACGTGCCCTGAGATACAAACATCTAATACTCTACATAGTTCATAATGTTCAAGCAGGATGCCTACCCCTTCACATGTACAGAGATGGTTCTTGTCTCAACAATACAAACAGGAACTGAAACAATATTATGTTCCACGAGTGATTTAAAGTGTAACATAATACATGTTTTTCTCCTGCTGTTTGCTTTTATATCTTAGTGTGTCTGGCTATTGTTACAGAATTTCATCTTAAAAAACAGGCCTGCTCAGCAGGGAGTCTGCTTCTCCCTCTGACCCTCCCCTCTCTCATGCTCTCTGTCATTCCCTCTCTCTCTCTCAAAAGTAAATAAAATTAAAAAAAAAAAAAACAAGCAACTTTAAGGGGGACTGGGTGACTCAGCTTCTCCCTCTCCCTCTGCCTCTCCCCCTGCTTGTGCTCTCTCACTCTCTCTCATTAAATAAATAAATAAAATCTTGAAAAAGAAAAGCAGACAACTTTCTTTTTACTTTTCTGCTACCTCTGGAAAGCACTACAGTTTATGAAAAATCATTGTTAAATCTGGAAAGATGTAACAGATTTGTGTGCTAAAATTCAGTGAAAGAAAGCAACTGTGAACCTTGCCAGCACCTTGATATGACAAATATATTATATAATGAAAATGCCCACAAGCTATTCATTTTCTTTTTTCAGTAGCAAGTCTCTTGATATCTTATTGTATAATCTAGAAATTATCTGTATTTACTTTAATTAAAAATAATAGCATGGGTGGGGCGCCTGGGTGGCTCAGTCAGTTAAGCGTCTGCTTTCGGCTCAGGTCATGATCCCAGGGTCCTGGGATCGAGCCCAGCGTCGGGCTCCCTGCTCAGCGGGAGGCCTGCTTTTCCCTCTCCCACTCCCCCTGCTTGTGTTCCCTCTCTCGCTGTTGTCTCTATCAAATAAAATCTTTAAAAAAAAATTTTTTTTAATAAAATAAATAAATAAACCTGAGGACTTATTCCTCCAGGGTCACATTACACGGAAACAAAAAAAAATAAAAATAAAAATAATAGCACGGGTACTCGGGTGGCTCAGTGAGTTAAGCGGCCGAATCCTGATTTCTGCTCAGGTCATGGAATCAAGCCCCGTGTTGTGCATCTGCTTGAGATTCTCTCTCCCTCTGCCCCTCCCCCTGCTCACATGTGTATGAATTTCTCTCAAATAAATAACTCAAATAAATAAAAGCATAGTTCTTATTTTCTGAAGTATCTTAACCACAACTTAATGAGAGTACCTTTAGGATGAGTTACATAGTTCAAAATGCTGTTGCATAATGGGAATTTTAAAGGAAAGTTACTATTTTTGAGAAAATGATTCAAGCAATTTGGTAAGCTGGACTACTCCATGCAATGGCACTCCCTGCCTGATTGCCCGCCCCCCACTTACCCGATCATAGGCCTGTTGTCATCTTTTGTCCATCATTCTTTGACTCTTCCTTGCTCCAGTAAGGGTCACATTTGATTTAGAAATACAGAGTCCTGCTTATAAAAGGGGAAAATAGATACTTCAAAAGATTATGGTTTTTCCTAGATCCAGACCTGACTTCTTAATACAGAGGAAGAGAATCTAGGGGCACCTGGGTGGCTCAAGTCAGTTAAGCATCTGCCTTTGACTCGAGTCATGATCTCAGGATCCTGGCACATCAGGCTCTCCACTCAGCAAGGAACCTGCTTCTCCCTCTCTTCTGCCCCTCCCCCTGCTCATGCTCTCTCTCTCTCTCTCTCTCCCCCTCTCTCAAAATAAAAAAGAGAGCACAAGTGGCAGGGAGGGGCAGAGCGTTCAAGGAAGAATGCAAGCCACTTCCCACTTCTATCAATTTTAATTCATTTCCTCAAGAACCTGGAGTAGGAATTCAGGCAGGCAATTTAAAGCCCACCCCCTTTTCCTAAAAGAGAAAGAAAGCAAAGATACCTAAATTCAGGTTTTGAATTTGGAGGAATGGTAATCTCAGATGAGGTTCCCATAGTTCCAAATCATTAGATTCCTATATAAATTCTTCTGGTCAGGGTCCAATCATCCCCATTTCTCACGAGAGGAAGTCTATGGCCACATCCCTGAATGTTATAAACCTCTGAAATGATAAATACATTTTTGTCCAGCAAAGACTCCCCACACGGGGCTAGGAAAAGTAATAATGCCCTGCTGCACTGCAGGAAAAGAAGGGTTTGTACAACGGAGCTGTTCTGGTAGAGACTGAGGCTTTGAGAAAATTATTAGGCAACAGTTATGTGTTACACCATAGTAAGTAGGAAAGAAAACTGCCAGCCTCTCACTTGGTGAAAGAAGACTTACCCATACATGAAATATACTTAAATGAGGCACTTATTCAAGTACTAAACTGTGTATTACTTATCCTAAATGCAAGCTCAGTTCTTAAAAGGAGGCAGACAGATGCTTCCAAGATAAGATACACTTTCAACTGGGACATTTAGAAATGGGCAAGGTGTACATGGAGAGTAAAAACATCATCTGGTTTATTTTGACAAACGTGCTTACAAAAGGAATGTTCCCACTGTAAGTGGATCAAAAGAGGAAAACCACCTTGGCATTTTCCTGCGACATACCTTATCTACATTTACTTCAGGCCAAGACAGGTCTAGTCGTATTCAAAGATAAACATGAGTTAGCATATCCTTAAATCTATACTTTATCTCAAAGTTAAAGCCATTAAGATACTAAAAATGTTTCTGTAACCATGTATGTTTCTACAAATGCACACTAGTCTTCACTGCTGATGCCAATACTGTGGTATTTGCATTTTCAGAATGACACATGCTGTGGAAAAAACTCTGCAAGTACCAAATTAACTAAAAACATTTATTCATAGCTTTCTTTTCTGAGTTTGCTTTAAAACAAAAATAACCCCCCCAAAAAAACTCCCACAAATTCCCTCCAGTAGGACTTCTCAACTCTTTAAGATTTTGCCACACTCCTTACAATAGTAGTTTTCTCCCCAGTATAATTCTGCAGTTCTGAAATAAAGCAGAAAACCCTCTATTCAGTTCATTTATAGGGTTGCTTTTTCTCTTTAGAAGAGTATTTTCAAACGTAGTAAATATTGCATGGTACACAAGGACATTGCCAAATCACCGCATTTGCATGACTTTGTTTCATTATGAATTTTCTGATGTCCACGAAAAAGTGCACTCTTGCCCACACACTCTGTCCTGTTTGAGCTGACAGATGCAGAATTGGGGCCAATTTCTAAATAAAAGCTTTCTCACATTTATCGGCCGCGTGTCCTTCCCTGGTGGGAATTTACAAACGTCAAGTGAGAGAACCCTACCAGATGAAGTCTTCTCAGCACTGATTTCATCTTCTGATGTAACAAAAAGAATGTGCAGCTACTAATGGCTTCCCGTCATATTCCTGGGTTATTATTTTCCGGATATTGAATCAAGTATGACCCACCTTCTTCACATTCAATATACTCACTTAAGGCTTCTTTCCAGGAGTCCAAAGTAAGGCATTAACTGTTTTGTTTTGTTTTTTAATCCATATGTTGTTAGGTTTTCTCTGTGGTGCGAATTCCTTTGTGCTCAGTAAAGAATGAGTGATAACTAAACGAATTTTCATATTCATAGGAGTTCTCTAGGGTGTGTGTTCTCTGATGTTTGGCAAGGTTTGAGCTCCAGCTGAAGGACTTATTGCATACCTTACATACATAGGGTTTCTCCCCAGTGTGAGTTATCTGATGTAGAATGAGGGAAAAGCTCCGACTAAAGGTTTTATCACATTCAGTACACGCATAGGGCTTTTCTCCAGTATGAATTTTCATATGTTGCATAAGGGATGCATGCCATGTGAAAACCTTACCACATTCATCACACTCATAGAGCTTTTCTCCAGCATGAATTCTCTGGTGTTTAATAAGGAATGAGTGGCAACGGAAGGCTTTCCTACATTCATTACATTCATAGGGGGTTTTGGTAGTATGGATGCTCTGATGCCGAGTAAGGTGTGAAGAACGGCGAAATGCCTTCCCACATTCAATGCATTCATACGGTTTCTCTCCAGTATGTGTAATCTGGTGGCGAATAAGTTCTGAGCCACTGCTAAAGGCTTTCCCACATTTCCTACAAATATACTGTTTCTTTCCTATGTGAATTCTCTGATGTCGCGTGAGGTTTGAGGCACGGCTAAAGGCCTTTCCACATTCAGTACATTCATAAGGTTTCTCCCCAGTATGTGTTCTCTGGTGTTCAATAAGGAATGAGAGGTAACTGAATGTTTTATTACAGTCCTTACACTCATGGGGTTTCTTTCCAGTATGTATCATCTGATGTTTCACAAGGTTTGAGATCTGGCTAAAGGTTTTGCCACATTCCTTACATACATATGGTTTCTCTCCAGTATGAGTTCTCTGATGTAACACAAGGGAAAAGCGCCGACTGAAAGTTTTTCCACATTCATGACATCCATAGGGCCTCTCCACGGTACTGATACTCATATGCTGAGACAGGGCTCCTTGATGAGAGACTGTCACTTGCCTGATACATCCCTGATTTCCTTGCATCTGGGTATCTTCCTCGCATTTCCAGCCTCCTTTAAAACTGGAATATTCAGGGTCTTGGTTTAGAATTCTTTCCACTACCAAATACTGGGATGAGCCATCTTCATATGTGACATTTTTTGGAGAAAACTCTTTGATGTCATCATTTGACTCTGAAAATAAAAAAAGCAAATTTTTTTTTTCCCTGTATTGATAGTAAAGCCACTCCTCACTTTTTCAATGAGAGATAAAACAAACAAACAGCTCAACACTACATGGCTTTCATAGTTCTCATATAGACTGAAATCTGAGCAGTATGCCCAGAAATTCAGAAGAGGGGTGTAGGTAAAAAGGGAAGACTAAATAGAAGTAACTGAAGGTGAGGGAAGAAACAGGACAGGGGATTCTTGGGTGGCTCAGTCAGTTAAGCATCTGCCTTCGGCTCAGGTCATGATCCCAGGGTCCTGGGGTCGAGCCCCATGTCGGGCTCCATGCTCAGTGGGGAGCCTGCTTCTCCCTCTGACCTTCCCCCCTGCTTATGCTCACTCACTCTTCACTCTCTCTCTGACAAATAAATAAATAAAATCTTAAAAAAAAAAATGGTCAGGAAGATAAATACTTGGGAAGGATACCTTTTCGTCTTTCTCAGCTCTACTTAAACTTTATCTAAGGCAAAAAGGACTTGAAAAAGACAATTTCATAATGCTGCTAATAAACTACAAATGTCCCTCAGATCCCACAAAGACCTCAGACTCTGTTCACTTAATGCCTTTGGAACACCTGACAGTGACTTATTTTAAATAAATTAAGTGAAAGGTATTCCATGAAAATGACTGTCTATGATCCTCACTCTAACTCTACTTTCCAAATTGATAACTGAACCTCAACTTTGGTATAACATGCTTCCCCCCCCAGGTGTATTTATTAGAGAGCAAGAGTGCACAAGTGGGAGGGGCAAAGGGCGAGGGAGAAAATCTGAAGCAAACTCACTGCTGAGTGTGGAGCCTGACCCACAGCTTAATCTCACAACCCTGAGATCATGACCTGAGCCAAAACCAAGGGTCGTACGCTTAACCAACTGTGCCACCCAGGCACCCTATCAGATGCTTTTAACAAACATCGGCCCTGATTTTCTCCAGGCTACATTTTAGGAACGTACTTTATCATTTTGGGGGGAACAAAACAGTATAATAATATGAAGACTTTTTAAGAAATATATTCACTCGGGCGCCTGGGTGGCTCAGTCGTTAAGCGTCTGCCTTCAGCTCAGGTCATGATCCCAGGGTCCTGGGATCGAGTCCCACATCAGGCTTCCCGCTCAGTGGGAAGCCTGCTTCTCCCTCTCCCACTCCCCTGCTTGTGTTCCCTCTCTCACTGTGTCTCTGTCAAATAAATAAATAAAATCTTTAAAAAAAGAAATATATTCACTCATATCCTAATTCTTAGGAATACATGGGGGTAAAACACCATGATGTATCCAATTTATTCTCTGATCTTTCAGAAAAAAATCATACACCAAATGATAAAATGAATGAGGCAAAATATTAGCAATAGGTGAATTTGAATAAAGAGCTTATAGGTATTTTTGTACTATTCTTGAAAGTTTTCTGGAAGTTTAAGATTATTTCCAAATAACACTAAAAAATTCATTTTTCTTTAAAACACATTTTGACATTTATTTTGTATGGGGGAATGCTATCTTTTATTTATTATCACTGACCTTAAGCTTCTAGGAAAAAGTATATAAACCTCTTTTTTTTTCAAGATTTTATTTATTTATTTGAGAGAGAGCATGCCTCCACACAAGCTGGGGTGGTGGGGGCAGAGGGAGAAGCAGGCTTCCCACTGAGCATGGAGCCCAACATTGGGCTTGATTCCAGGACCCCAGATCATGACCTGAGCCAAAGGCCAATACTTAACCAACTGAGCCACCCAGGTACCCCAGACCGATTTCTTTAATAGGTATCTGAACAAAGAATCAAGATATACCTATATGGTAGGCACATTAAAATGAAAGATTAGGATGGGGCGGCAGTAAAATAATAGTTAAGAAAATGGTCTCAATAAAGGAAAATCTTAAATTACTTTCTATACTTCTGTATACTTCTATATACTTCTATAAACCAATTCCATGAGCAACTCAGTAAAAGCCCTGGGGATATAAACGGAATAATTATCTTCATGAGCTGAGAACATAAACAGGGAGATAAAGAGGACAGAGAAGAAAACAATGATACAAGAAACAAGATAAGCTCGGGCGCCTGGGTGGCTCAGGTGATTAAGCGACTGCCTTCGGCTCAGGTCATGATCCTGGAGTCCCAGGATCAAGTCCCACATTGGGCTCCCTGCTCAGCAGGGAGTCTGCTTCTCCCTCTGACATTACCCCCTCTCATGTGCTCTCTCATTCTCTCTCTCAAATAAATAAAATCTTAAAAAAAAAAAAAGAAACAAGATAAGCTCATTATATTTAGAGTAAAAACTGTATGAGAGATCAGAAATGAGAACTAAAAATCCACTGGAATTGGTAAAGAAGAGCTTCATCTAGAAAGGCTTCACTGCAGAAATTAGTTGGGAATGGAAATACAGCAAGATATATCAGGTGAACATAGATATTTAATGATATTAGAAAAAGCAACTGGGGTTAACTGCAAAGATTTAGTATACTACCTGCCATATGGTTTCACAGACCACTGCGATTAAAAGGCACAACCAAGAAAACCAGGTTCAAAATATGAATAGAATGCTAATTATATATTCCTCACCCCCCTTCATTCCCTCGAAGTCACCTCCCCTCCTTCTATCACCTATATGCCCATACTCTTTTTGGTAAATGTCAAATGGATCTGATATAACTTAGCACTTATACTTATTAAAAGCCTAGAGGAATACAAGGATTCATTCTTTTTTTTTTTTCTTTTAAAGATTTATTTGTTTTAGAGAGAGCATATGTGAGTGGAGGGAGGGGCAGAGGGAGAGGAAGAGAGAATCTCAAGCAGACTCCACACTGGGCATGGAGCCCAACACAGGGCTCAATCTCACGACCCTGAGATGACAACCTAAGCCAAAACCAAGAGTCAGACACTTAACCAACTGAGCTGCCTAGGCGCCCACAAGGATTCAGTTCTTAATGTAAAGAAGGGTTCCTATGACAAATCAGCAATATACTCAAAGCAAAACTTTTAGATGCACTCACTCTCTCCTTATGAAGAAAAAAAAAAACAAATATTCTCTATCACCAATGTTACTTAAGATCATTGAGATAGTACTTAATGTGGTATAGTGTTGAGAGAAAAAAACCCACCAACCTAGAATCGTGTACCCTGCAAAACTATACTTCAAAGGTGAAGGAGAAATAAAGATTTTCTCAGACAAAAACTAAGGAAACATATTACCAGTAGACATGCGCTGCAAGATCCAACATCCATTCAAGAAAAAACTCAACATACTAGGAATAGAGTGGAATTTCCTCAAGTTGTAAAGAACATCAAAAAACCTAGGGCACCTGGGTGGCTCAGTCAGTTAAGCGGCTGCCTTCGGCTCAGGTCATGATCCCAGGGTTCTGGGATCGAGCCCCACGTCCGGCTCCCTGCTCGGCGGAGAGCCTGCTTCTCCCTCTCCCTCTGCCTGCCACTCTACCTGCTTGTGCTGTCTCTCTATCTGTCGAATAAATAAATAAAATCTTTAAAAAAAAAAAATCAAAAAACCTATAGCTAACATCGTATTAATGGTGAGAAATTTGAAGCTCTCCTGCTAAAACCGAGAACACTGCAAGGATGTCCCTTCTCAGCACTGCTTTTTTTTTTAAGATCTATTTATTTATTTCAGTGAGAGAGAGAAAGTGCAGGGGGGAGGGGCAGAGGGAGAGAGAAATTCAAGCCAATTCCTGCACTGAGCGCAGAGCCTGACATAGGGCTCAATCTCACAACCCTGAGATCAGACTTGAGCTGAAACCAAGAGTCAGATGCTTAACAACTGAGCCACCCAGGCGCTGCTCAGAACTTTCTTTTTTAAGATTTTATTTATTTATTTTACAGAGAGAGAAAGAGCGAGAGAGGGAACACAAGCAGGAGTTGTGGGAGAGGGAGAAGCAGGCTTCCCACCGAACAGGGAGCCCGATGCAGGGCATCCCAGGACCCTAGGATCATGACCTGAGCCGAAGGCAGACGCTTAATGACTGAACCACCCAGGCGCCCCAGAACTACTTTTCAATGCTATAACGGAATTCTTAGCTAATGCAATAAGAGAAAAAAAGTAAATAAAAGGTATACAGATTGGCAAGGAAGAAATAAAACTTCCTACTGGCAGATGACACTATTATCTATGCAGAGAATCTGAAAAATTTTGCCAAAAAACTGGAACAAGTGATTATAACAAAATTGCAGGATATAAAATTAATGTATAAAAGTCAGTCTTTCCCATATATAAGCAATGAACAAATGGAAGTTGAAACAGACATTACTGCTTACATTAGCACACAAAAAATGAAATTACTTAGGTATAAATCTAACAAAACATGTACCAGATTTATAGGAGGAAAACTACAAAATTGATCAAAGATATGAAGAAAGAACTAAATGGAGAGACAGAAATTCCATGTTCATAGGAGGATTCAATATTGTCAAGATGTCTTGATAATTCTGTCAATATTGTCAAGATCTATAGATACAATGAAATCCCAGAAAGTAATTTTATAGATCTCAACAAACTGATTCTAAAGTTTATATCAAGAAGCAAAAGACCTAGAATACCAGAATATTGAAGGAAAAGAACAAAGCCAGAGGACTGACACTACCTGACTTCAAGACTCACTATAAACTTATAGTAATGAAGACAGTGTGGTACTGGTTAAAGATGAGACAAGTAGATCAATG